GCATCACCAGTAGGTGCATGACGGTCACGAAGGTGTGTCCACATGAGATGAGCTGAAGCAAGGGTAACCACATCACCAGTAAGATGGACCTCCATACTAGTTACAAGAATAACAGAAGCACGAGCATCCTCATCCAACCAAGTCTTGTACATAGCATACTGACCCTGATAAGTTTCCATAACATCATCATACTCCTCTTGTGCCTTTGCTCTATCTTCATCAGTAGTCTGAGCTGAAAAAGTAGGCACAGCTCGAGCCAAGGGGAAAGGGGGGCAAGCTAGCTCACCAGAAAGAACGTCCCAAAGGCATTGACCACGCATATTTAGATGCATATGCTGAGCCCAATGATTATAGTTGATGCCATCAAAAATAACTGGGCAATGAGGAACTGAAACTGTGCCTGATAGAGATGACATTGGCATGAAGCAACGGGCGACAGCGACAGCGCAAATGAAAGCAGCAGCAAGCGAAAGAACAGGAACCTCCGAGCGGCAATCCTGGGTTGGTTCTGTCGATCCATCCAAGGAAGGTGTTATGAGTACAGCGGCGGGGTGGCCCAAAGTCGTCTTCATCCGAGGAAACCATCCCTTCCCTTCCACCGGGTCCACCACCTCCAAGATGTGCAGCCGGAGATCAAATGTGAGACATTTCTTCTCCGTCGGGGGTGCCGGGTGTGCCTCTGAGACGAGTGCCTCGAACATGTCCGTATCCTCAACCTCCGGCTCTCTCCACTAGTCTTGCATCGGCTCAGGGATCTCAAGAGTGAACTCCATGGGGATTAAGGAAAGGTTGGACGACCACGCCAGGACTTCCGTCATGCAAGCATCCACCGGCTCGAACCACTCGATAAGCTGACAGCCAATTTTGTTAAGAAATTGCTTTACTGCGTCTGCCTCCACCGCATGCGCCGGAAGGCCCTCAATCCCCAACTTCACAACATGCGCCATCCTCGAGCTCTGGACGTGAATCGCACGGTGCCAACAACGGAAGGAGATTTGGGCCCCCGCAACGTAAAGACGGTCGGACCTATTGAGAACATTCGTGCAACCCTCCTCACGAGCAAAGATAATTAGGAAGTCGGAAGGCCTTGTCACCTCGACCCGCACGTTGCCATGCTAGATGCCACACGACCGACCGAGTTCCTCCATCACCATGGCCGACGAGACTTCACGCTTGCCCGAGAGGACACTGGCCACGAGCGCCCTGCCACGCAGGCGTTCTTCAAGCGTCGTCATCCCCGGGGTCTAGGAGAGGACCCCCCCTGGCTAGATTCCAGCTGCAGGAAAGGATCACTCGTGCCAAGATTCCCCATCGCCCTATGTGCTTGCTTCGAGGAGGAAGGGGCACTTGGAGGAGGCGCGTGAGCGCGAGGAGCCGGTTCCACAGGCAGAGCAGGACCCAACGCCCCCTTGTCCTGAGCCGAGGGAGCGGCGGAAGACACCTGCTTCGTCTTCTTGTTCACAGCACTGGCAGCCTCCTTCCTTGATGCAGCAGTAGTTGGAGCCCAGGCAGCGTTCACCGCCGCCAGCTAGCGCTCGCTAGATAGGGAGTGAACGTCAAGCCTGCAATCCTTCTCCAGATGGCCTGAGTACCAGCACCGGTAGCAGCGAGGAGCCGCCTTGCAGTCTGCTTTGAGATGCTCCAACCCTAGGTAGCAGAGACATCTTCCATGTAACCATTTAGGGATAGGACAGGGGAGGGGGGCGTAGGTGGAGTAATTGCGGTGGTTGGGCGGCGGCGAATTTACTCCTTCGCTTCAAGATACACCAACCTGCGTCAATGTCCTGCTGAGGCCTTGTTTAGTTCGTGAAAAGAAAATTTTTGGGTGTCACATGGGACATTTGACCGGATGTCGGAAGGGGTTTTCGGCCACAAATGAAAAAACTAATTTCATAACCCATCTGGAAACCGCAAGACAAATTTATTAAGCCTAATTAATCTGTCATTAGCGCATGTGGGTTACTGTAGCACTTATGGCTAATAATAGACTAATTAAGCTTAAAAGATTCGTCTCGCGATTTTCATATAAACTATGTAATTAGTTTTAAATTTTATCTATATTTAATGCTCCACGTATGTGTCCAAAGATTTAATGTAACGTTTTTAGGAAAAAAAAATTTAGGAACTAAACAAGACCTGAGAGAGTACAGGCGGACCAGCTGGGACCGGTACACAGCAGGAGACCGGACGACCTCCGCCCAGGAGACGGAAGCGGCTTTATCTGGACGGCGGCCATGTCGGAGTGAGCGGCCGCCGGGGGAGGGTGGTGGGACGACGACGACGCACTCATCTTCTCAAGTCTCCTCCATATCCCTCACTTGGAATTCGACCTTGACAATCTCATAAGCTTCCCTCAATCTTCCAGCACGGCCCAAGAAATCAACCAGGCAGCCGTACCCGATTTGTCGGTAGAGATCAAAAGAAGCAAACAACGTTGGTTGGTCGCTGTGGCCTTGCATGTCGAGGAAGAAGGGGATACAATCATGTTAGGAATCTCTCCTCTCACTCTCTAGGTGTTTATCACAAACACTCAAGTTTCTGGCTAGTGACGCACGCACGCGCAAGAACTCAACAACACAAATAGTTTTGGTTGATGCGGAGGCTAATCACAGCTCACACCATTTTCTTCTTTATATAGACTTAAGTACATGCAAAAGAAAAGGATCAGCCAACTAATTTGGCCTTACTCCAACATGCAGATGCCATGCAAAAGGTAACTAGCTAGACCTATTCTTCCGCTACAAAATCACTTCGTGGCCTTCCAGCCTGAGCTGCAGCTCTGCATGCATCTTAACACATCCAACTAAATGCTTGCATGCAGCCACTAATCACTAGCTCTACATGCTAATGCAACAGCCTTTACACATCGTAGATATCGGCATGTTCGTCCGGCCGCATCACGCAGCTCACAGCAAGCACGTTACACACGTACTGGCTCGATCGGATCCTTTGCTGCCACACACTACTACCTTGTGCAAAACATATACAAACCAAATGCATACAAAATAGAAGAATGCATATGCTCTAAAGACAAGATTATTGCTAACAAATCAGTCATGGAGAAGAGAGAGGGGATGTATCCACTGCAAATGGCACAAGTGGGAGAAGCAATCAACACCAACACATGCTCACCGACCGACGAGAGGCGACGAACAACAGGTTGCAAGCACGAGCATGAGCAGACAGCTAAAGCACTTTATGCGCATGCATACTGCAGTATCATCAAAACACACGTATATATATGACTAAAATAATCCATCCATTATTGGGCACACACAAAGCAGAGCCGTGTGTTAATACCTACAGTACACATGCTACTAAACTAAAGCGCGCAGAGACGTCTTCAGTCGTCCACGTCATGAGAATTCATGACACGCTGCTGTCGCATTTTTGGCTACGACTGTACGTAGCGCCATGATTCGATCGATCGTGAGGTTTGATTCGAGGCACGGCGCCGGCGCGGGTAGCTAGTTTGGCAGCAAACTGGTGTCATATACTCCCTCCGTTTTCTAAATATTTGACACCGTTGACTTTTTAGCACATATTTAGCCGTTTGTCTTATTCAAAAACTTTTGTGAAATATGTAAAATTATATGTATACATATAAGTATATTTAACAATGAATCAAATGATAGGAAAAGAATTAATAATTACTTAATTTTGTTAATAAAACGAACGGTCAAACATATTTAAAAAACTTAATAGCGTCAAATATTTAAAAACGGAGGGAGTAGTATCGACCAACGCAGGCTCGGGCGGTGGTTGTGTGTGCTAAACTCTACTACATTTATTGTATAGGTTATTTGTTATGTTTCTTTTTTTTCCCCAAATAGTTGTATGTCGTTTTATTAAGGGGAAAAAAAAGGTCTATATACCCCTATAACAGTCTAACCCTGATCTTTGCAATACCAACGACTCTGAACTCTCCTTAACAGACCCAAACCTTAATTAAAATAAAAATCAGTAGAAAAAATTTGACCTACTCGCCCATGCATTAAAGATTAACGACATATTAAAAATCAGTTATTGAAAGATGCTTATCAGCAGTGACTGTTGAACTAATCCAGCGCGACGACACTCTACAGGTTTGCTGTAAATCTGGAGAGTAATTTATCACCATTGAAAAAAAAATCATAAGATACTATATATATTTGTAAAACTAGCTTGTACCTTTAAGTACTAGTAAATCAGGTACCAAAAATTTTTAGTGTGGAATTTATGTAACTTAAGGTACTCCCTCCGTTTCAAAATGTTTGACACCATTGACTTTTTAGCATATGTTTGACCGTTCGTCTTATTCAAAAACTTTTATGAAATATGTAAAATTATATGCCTACATAAAAATATATTTAACAATAAATCAAATGATAGGAAAAGAATTAATAATTACTTAAATTTTTTGAATAAGACGAACGGTTAAAAATGTGCCAAAAAGTCAACGGCGTCAAATATTTCGAAACGAAGGGAGTAGTAAATTTTTCTCAGGTCTGAAACTAGTTCATATCGAATTGGCCTTCCCAAGGCTTGCATGCACCGCAACAAGTTGGCAAATAAAAGGTACGTGTACCGTATACGTATATATAATTAAAATTCAAAAAAGAAGGTATATATAATTAGTCCCAACTAGTTATTTGCATATGAGCATCTTGCTCAGTCTGATGATTCTTGATTGCAGATATCTATACAATCCCATCAAAGATTATTCCTAGCTAGAATATGAAGTTATTAATAATAAAGAGGTACCGAAATCCTAGCTAATAAATCTCCTCACAAATTAAATAGTACTACTCCTGTATAGTTGGGTCGTTGGCCCTAAGCACACAAGTATTCTCTCTCTCTAGTACATTCTCATGTTCTTTCAGGATCAATAGTTCAGTACTAGTCATCTCCTATCTCTCGTGTCGCCCTCCCCCAAGGGCGGCACGTGAGGCGTCGAACTCCGGCCGCCCCCTCCCCCCATCTTCCTCCTCCGCCTCGCCGCCGCCTGAGCGGCCGCAAAGATGGCGCCGGCGGGGCTCCTCGCTTCTCGCCGACCTCGTCTCGTTCGGGTGGCTGGGGGAGCAGCCCAGGATAGTGGCGACAGTGACCGCCAGATCCGCGCCGCCTCAACCAGATCTGGCGGGGTGGCGGCTGGCTGTGGGGATGGCAACGGCGACGGCAGGGGCGCGGCTGGGTCCACGGCAGTGGGGATGGCGACGGCGGCGGGGTTCCTCACTTCTCACCGACCTCGTCTTGTTCGGGCGGCTGGGGGAGCAGCCAAGGACAGTTGTGACAGTGATCGCCAGATTCGCGCCGCCTCAGCTGGATCTGGCGGGGTGGCGGCTAGCGATGGGGATGGCGACGGCGACGGCAGGGGCCCGGCTGGGTCGACGGCCACGGGGATGGCGACGGCGCCGGATCCGGCCGCGCTGAAGGCGCATCCGGCCTCCCGACGGTGGATCTAGCAACCCAGCGGCTGGATCGGGCTAGCTCGTGGTGGGAGCGGCAGAGCTCGCAACGACGTGGCGGCGGCAGCAGGGCAAGCTCGTGGCAGGAGCGCCCGTCGGCGGCGGCGGCAACATCCGTCAGCAGGAGCTTCTGGAGGTGGTCCTGTCAACGGCGGTGGCTGCCGACGGCGGCCGCTGTATCAGCAGTGTCCACGGCGGCTCTCGGCCAGATCTGGTTGTGACCGGTGGTGGTCGGCTGGCGATGTTGGCGGCGGCAGTTGTTGCCCGCTTGGTGGTGGAGGGCGACGGTGCAGCGCCAGTTTGCGTAGGCGGTGGCTCGCGTCGGTGGCAGCGGCGATGGCGGCCTTGACTATGGAGGCGGTGGCGACATCGGCGGTGGGGAAGGAGTCGGGTGCGAGGTGAGGATGGCGACGGCGAGGTGGCTGACCGTTCGATAGCAGCGGCTGCGGTGGTGGTGACTGTGTCTGTGGTAATTTGGCGCGGCATCGTTTGGTGGAGGGGTCAGAGAGATCGGCTTGGCATAGAGAAACGCAGCCGATGGCAGTGGAGGCCGGCTCGGCGCGAGAGACGCGGGCGGTGGAGATGGAGGCAGGCTTGGCGCGGGAGGAGCGGCCCATGGAGGAAGGCCGGATTGGGCGAGGCGCATCCGGCGGAGGAGGCCGGCTTGGCGCAGAGAGGTGTGGCTGACGGTGGAGGAGGCGACCTAGGTGTGAGGAGGAGCTGCCGGTGGGTGTGGAGTGGACTTCGCGCATGAAGGTTGGCCGACGGGGGGCGCCGTTGCAGGGATCTCACATGTCGGCAGAGCTAGTGTAGTGGTGGAGCATTGGTGCGTCAGCCATGGATTCGCAGGTGGTGAGCAGCGGGTGAAAACCCAATCTGGCCTTGGCCGGACCGACAACGATGGTTCATTGCCCCTCGTGAGGGTGTTGTTGTGCTGTCTCACCCCTCAAGAGTGATTGCCAGGTGAAAGCAAAGTCTTGGCTCCTTTGAGTCCCGATGGATGGTGGCGGCGGTCTTCCGTCGCTTCTCTTCTTGAAGATGTCATTTTGGCATCCCCTTGGAGGCAATCTTGTCTGTGTCCCTTTGATGGCCTAGTGGTGGTCGGTCACGCTTAGTGGCGGCCGGTCCGGTGCTAGCCTTCTCCTGGGCTTGTGTGTTGGCGATGTCGGTGTGTAGGTAGTGGTATAATTTTTCCTTTTTCCTGGCTACGACCCTCCAGGGTCGTAACCTTGTAATTTTTTCCTACTCTATCAATAGAACTTCACACCGTCTCGTGTGAGTCGTTCAAAAAAAATATATTCTTTCAGAAAGTGTCACTGTTGTCTGTTGTCTTACTATTTACTATAGTGACACTTTTTCAAATACAATCTTTTGGCAAGAAATGCCATGTTTCGGAAAAAAAAAACGGGGAAGCCCATCTGCTTGAAGTACACCATGATATTGATTTCAATCTGTCTGGGAGATCATGTGGAGACAAAAATATATACATATATATACATACATATATACATATACACACATGTGTGTGTATGAATAAACATTAAGATTTGATATGTGAAAAACATTATTAAATTTTTCATTCAATTCAATCAATTATATTTTAAACATTTTTATAATATGACTTGAAATTAATGACAATGATTATCAACACATTATATACAATTATTTGTATTGAGGTGAATTATTAAACGATCCCTCCTTTATGCAAGGTAGCTTTATTTCACTGTACGTGATGGCAAGATAAAGGATGTCGATCGGATTTCTTTATCACTATATAATTGGTCAAGTGGTAAAGTTCCTAGCTAACAGACACGTGCTATGGATATTATAAAATGTTACGCTATGGATATTATAAAATGGTACTCGATGGTAGCAACGGGATGCCGGATCTTCCGTCAAGTGAAGATAACTGTCAATTTGGTGGAAACTTGATACGTACACAATCCGGCTTTTGATCAACACGATCCAAACCCTACAATCATAGCACCATGTCTCCTCTGGTTATCAACCGTGCCGAAACCAAATTGACTAATCCCTGAATCAAAGAACACAAGCAAGAACAAGAAAAACAACAACTCAATTGTAGATGAATGATATCAAGGACTCGAAGTTGGGGTTTCACAAACCGATCTAGCGGCGAAAGTGCGAAGGTAGAAATAATCTAAGCAAAACCCAACCCTAACACAATGAAGGCTACTGAATATATAGGTTTTAGGGTCGACCTTAGACCCATGGACACTACCCTATTAGACTTCGACTCGATACACGGCCCAACGGGCCCAAAGATGGTGACACAGCACCCGGACAGATTCTGAACATCTTGTTTTGAAGATTCATGTTGAGTCGGAAGGAATTTTGATGTGGGACAAGATTATTTCGAATTGTGATCTCGTTAGCTTTCCATGCATATATAGAACGTTGAAATCGGAGTCTGAATGCAACCTGGGTGACGAATTTAGTGTGGATTGCTCTTGGAGCCCGAAGTGGACTCGAACTTGATATGATATGAGTTGGATCTCTATCTTGACTTGATCCATCTTCTAGCCTCTCTCCAAGTGCTCCATGATCCTCTCCATAACTCCTAATCATAATTAAATCAATAAATCAATAGGTCACAATCTATCCGCGAGATAGCACATAAAGAAGTACTTAGGAACGAGCTCACCTGTAAATTTAATTGTCGGGCGCAAGCTCTAGTGATTGGACCTTACAAAACAACTCGAGAAGTAGCGTTATCTAAAGGAGTAATGTCCTTATCACTTGATTTCTCTGTTCCAAAGGAGTAATACTCAAATCCAATACGTGAGAAAAAAAACTCAAATCCAAATTAAATCTTAACATCCACTCCATCCATCATAAAATATAATAACTTTATCAATCGTTTTAACATATAAGAACTTATTTTTAAATATACCTAGCTATCGCTTCAGCTACTCTCTCATTTCGATCAATCATAACTTTTTATCTGTTATTTAATTTTTTTTATCTATTTTTTCATCTCAACCAATTACAACCATATTTTACTTGATTTCTTAATGGAGCTAATCTTGGTTAAAATGTTGGTTTAGTGCTGTTTCACAGGTGGTACCGTGCTTTTGTTAATACTTAATAGTACGTCGCAACTCTGCTGTATAATATGTTTCTGTCAGTGTCAAATGAAGTCTACTTCAGGGGTGTTTTATATCCAGGGATGTAAAGTTTTGATGTGCCACATCGGGTATTATATAGGATGTTTTATGGGGTGTTTGACACTAATAAAAAAACTAATTACAGAATCCGTGGGTAAACCACGAGATGAATTTATTAAGCCTAATTAACCTGTCATTAGCAAATATTTACTTTAGCACTACATTGTCAAATCATGGAGTAATTAGCCTTAAAAGATTCGTCTCATAAATTAGTCGTAATAGGTGCAATTATATTTAATCCTTCATGCAGGTGTTCAAACGTTCGATATGACGGAGTGAAAAATTTTGGAGTGGGATATAACCAGGGCCTCAATTCTTCGGCAGAGATTCTGTTGCTTGCTGCTGAGGAGGAGCACTCACTATATAGCTCAATCCATCTTCCTCTGCAAAGCGTACGCACGACACTACGACACTCTGGTTGCGATCGATCACTCCCTGATCGCGAGTTCTTGGTCTGCGAGCGTCTGCAATTAAGGTACGCTATACCTTGATAGTCGCTGTATCTGAATTTACAGGTTATTGCTTTATTCGTTCCTATGTTTTCAGCTTTTAGTTTGTTATTAGTTCTTGGACGCAATATTAAAGTTATGTTCGATCTTTAATATAAGCGCATGCATGCGCTAGCTAGCTGATGCATACCTATAAGCACACGCAGCATGCACTAGCTAGCTAGTCTTACGCACATAGAGGCAGACCTATCATAGAATGGTTACATGCATATATAAATTTGCTCATATATGCCTTATTCTACATATGCTTTTCATTTTCTTGCGTACTAACCTCAGTTTACTACCGTATGCATATATATACAATAAGCAGGAAAAATACATACAACAGTGTGCGCTAAAGTGTACTATTACTTACTAATTAATGGAAGAGACCCCGCTGCCATCCGGGAAGAACTTCAGGAGCCAGCTTGCTGCTGCAGCGAGGAGCATCAGTTGGACTTATGCCATATTTTGGTCCATTTCAACCAGCTGTCCAGGGTAATATATATATGATACGCATAATATATAGTCAAGTAGATCATATATACATCATGACACCTTAATTTCCACATTTCCACTACCTAAATGCTAGAAATCTTTTACATCACTACATAATACATGTTACCATGTATAAATTAATATCTGTACTTGAAATTTTTACAAAAGATGGTTAGACGATTATTCTGTAAACTAGGAAGGTAGCCCGCGCATTCGTGCGGGCATGTGTATTAGGATTTTTTGAAACAGGTCTAACAAACTGTGAAAGTAACATATACTCTTTTTTAATTCATTGTGCATTATATCTTCTTTTCTTAATAAACTTCGTGAAATTTATATCATTGATGAATGTTTATTTTTACCATCAAGTCCTTAATTAATTGGTTCACATGCATGCAATTTGCTATATGCTTGCATATGAATTAATAAATTTGTTGTATGCATGTATTGAAGAAATATGCATATAGTGAACATGGTTTTTCTGAAATACGTGAGACCCTTATGGTATTTTTTTAAAGAAAAATATAGGCAATATGAGTCTTAAAATATAAATTTGGTAGGAAGAAATAACTATTATCATGATATGGAATACCACATATTTTGAGCTGCTTGTATATACAAGATGTGGAGAAACCCTTGAAAAACCCATGAAGCTACTACAAAGACATGAATGAAGTGACTTTATGGATTTGCTATTGACCTTTGTCTCTTGATATGTATCAAACCAAAACATAACTTTATACTTTACTTGTATGAAGAGAAACATAAAAATGAAAAAAAAAGAAAAAATATAAGTAGGAATTCAAAAAGAATTTTTTATAGTTAAACTGATTCAATATTAGCTTATGTCCGGTTAAAACTCTATTAAATAGATCTCTAGGAGCAAAACCATTGCAAAATCTATTTCTATAAAGCGGCCAATGAGGGTGAGGCAACCCCGGGTTCACTATAAACTATCTTGTTATTATGAAAATTTTTCATATATACAGATGTTAGCTTAGGAGAAATTTATCCATAAAAAGAAACATATACGTAAGTATGATCGAAATAAAAAGGATAAATACAAAAAAAAGTTACATCTGTACGACTGTATGATTGAAAGAAAAAATCACAGCCAAGATTAATTATAAAACAACCAGATCGGCCGACCAGCCAAGATTAATTCCAACGACCATGCACCATCTGCTCACGGCTCAAGCACGTATATGCACCATGGGGAGGGAGTTTTTCTAGAAGGGGGAGGTAGTTCGTACATAAGTGGGCACCTTTTATTTGCCTTCTGAATCGTATATACGTACGAATATATTGGGAGGAGGGCATGGCAACGTACATGATTTGTTTTCTTGAGATAAGAACTGATGTTTAAATTAATAATTTAATTGTTAAAATATTGTGTCAACCTATTTCAATGAAAATAGATGGTCCAATTTTTTTCTAATGCCACGTGGTGGCCTAGTAGCGTTTGTAAAAGTATCATGTGTCGACTTAGAAATGTTTGTAGAAAGTTTAATGGGCTTTTATTATGTAATAGATTTATAGTATTAATTTTAAATTTATCAGATGTGCCACGTGGTAGGTTAGTAGCACTGTAGAGGATGTTTAATGGAGCTTATTATAGATTGATCTGCATGATGTTTAATGGATCTTTATTACACAATGGGTATTTGATCGATTAAATCTTTAGATTTTAATGTCACCTTAAATATGTAGCTTTGTGAAATTTACTCTTTATTGTTTATATAATGAGTTGCTTGCTACTCCTACAAAATAGCGAGGAGAAAGTGAGCAAGCACGTAGACAAGAGATCAAATATATGTTATTATTTTTTAATAATATTTAATTGCTCATTATTTTCCATGTAAAAGATAGGAGTTTTTTTTATCCAAATGATATATTCTTATATATCCAAACATGCCCAATCACTACTAGGATTTCGCAAATCTATGATGAAATGCTTTCGTCACTGAACATAGGCAATTCGTCACAGGGAAAAGTTTATGACGACCGCGTGACGAAACTGTTTTCGTCATATTATTTGCGTCACATATGTAACACAATGACGGAAATGAGAATTTTCGTCACAGAAATGTGTTTCATCGGTGACGAACAGATTCATCACAGAACGTACTCCGTCCCATGCATGTTTCTCCATCCGACGTGGCAGTGGCCATGTCATCATCTGACGTGGCTTGACAAAATAGCAATATATTTTATTTATCTATATTAATATAGATAAATAAAATATATTGTAAAAAGTACAATCATTAGTTATCTAATGTTTGATTTTGTTTACATATTAAATTTTGCTAGGCGGAAAATTGAAAGATGAAAGGAAGGATAGGAGAGGGAGAGACGTATCTACCTACGTGAGGGGAGAGGAGGTCACGTACTTACACATAAGGGGGCAACTGGAGAGAGACCCAGGAGGTGGTGGGGTATATAGAGCTAATGGTGAAATATAATGGGTCCACCATGTTAAGTGAAAATTAACGGTGGGATGTTTTGCTTTTTTCTTAGATTTTCTTGGATTTCTCTAATTTAGTAGAGCGCCACATGGCTGCTTAGAAGCGTTTGTAGGAAGTTTAATGGACTTTTAGTATATAATAGATAGATGTTATCTTTTTTCGAAAACGTTTTGAAATTATCTGATTCATATCTTTGTTTATAGAGTTATGACTTGGAAGGACGGCTTCTACAACGGGGAGATAAAGACGAGGAAGATCACGAGCTCCATGAACCTCACGGCCGACGAGCTCGTCCTGCAGAGAAGCGAGCAGCTAAGGGAGCTCTACGACTCTCTCATCTCCGGCGAGTGTGGCCACCGAGCGAGGAGGCCCGTCGCTGCGCTGTCGCCGGAAGATCTCGGGGACACGGAACTGTACTACCTCGTTTGCATGACCTACGCCTTCTGTCCCGGCCAAGGGTGCGTATGGTAACTTCACTCCGAGGAGCACGCACCATTTCATTTGCATATGCTACCAATTATAATCCACTATGGAGAGACTGCACCTATTTTATTTTATTGCATGCATAAAATAATTATAACCCTTTTTTTTAAACGGACGGTAAAAGGCTTGCCGGATATATTAGAAGGAATAAAGTCAGATAAAAAAGGAAAACAGCTCAAAGATGGGGTTTATGAACTATTACAGAAGTAAATAACAACCCCTTTGAACAGCAAAAACTCCATTAGGAGTTTTGGGAGAGAGCTAGTTGAGCTATATTTTCCTTAATAAGAAAAGCAACTTGCATTTCGTTTTGTGAAGTTTGCTGGAAAATTCTTCGATTTCGCTCCAACCAAACGTTCCACCAGGTGATGAGTAGAGTGGCTAGGGTTTTCTTTCTCATCCCTACCGGTGTTGAGGTGCTTAAGGCCTCCCACCATTCTGCAACGTCAATATAGAGACGATGAGGCAAGGGGGATAGATCCATCCAATTCGCCACCAAACTCCATACAGAGCAGGTAAACTGGCATTCCTTGGCTAGGTGATTAGCATGCATCTTCAAAAGCACTCCTGCAAAGACTGCAAATCCAGTCACATGGCCAATGTCTTCTCAGATGGTTTTATGCCGTTAAAGTTCTTTGATGTAGGATTAACCACCCGAAAAAATGTTGCTTTGGCTCAACTTGTGTCTTCCAAAGAGGGTGGGAATTTGCATGGGTTATGTACCCTCGAAATTGCATTAGGTATGCACTTTTTGTTGAACATTGACCATTTTCGTTCCATTTCCAAAGGATATCGTCATCCCTATCTTGCAGAAGGGCGACATTCTGCAATTTTCCTCCTAGCTGAACCAATTCATCAATCTGTTCCACTGTGGTAATCGGATTCAGCATAGAAAGCCAATGGTTGTCTTGCAACTCTACTCGCAAACAATTCTTCTTCCTTTTAGCGAGTTTGAAAATGGAGGGGGCTATCTCCTGCAGTGATTTCCCTTCTAGCCAATGATCAGTCCAGAAACAGACTTTGGATCCATTTCCAACTTTGATCTCCGTTGATGCCTGGAAAACTGCTTTGTCTAACTTATCATAGGGGGTGTTCATATTTGCCCAATGTTTATCATCATCCTTCCAGCCGAACCAGAGCCAACGAAGCCGTAAAGCTCTAGAAATTTTTTCGAGGTTTAGGATACCTAGACCCCCTAGTTCCTTCGGTTTGCAAACTGTGTTCCAGTTTACAAGGCTGCTCCCTGCACTGACATGTTCTGGGTCGTCTCCCTTCCATAGAAAAGCTCTCCGGAAGCAATCGATTCGCTTAAACAGCCACTTATTTTGTGGGAGGACAGTGAGGTGGTAGATCAGTGTTGCTGAGAGAGTTGATTTGACTAGGACTTCACGCCCGGCTGCAGTGAAGAAACGCCCTTTCCATCCTGGGATACAGCCCCCAACCTTGTCCACCAAAGGTTGTAAGTCAACTTTTCTGAGTTTCCGAATGTGTAGTGGAAGGCCAGGTATTTGCAAGGGAAATTCTTCCGGCGCCCCGGGAAGAAAGGTAGGAGGGCATCAACATCGACATCAGGACACGCGATCGGGTAGTTTTCCGTCTTGTTTAGATTTGTCTGTAGACCACTTATCTGTGCAAAGAAAAGAATGATCTTTTTAAGCGCTTGAAGTTCAGTCTCATTTGGTGCCACAAAGAGAGCAACATCATCAGCATAAAGTGAACAGCGGAATCTTCTATGGCACTGCGAGAGGCAGGAGAACACCTCGGACTCCTCTGCAATTTTCAGAATTGTTGGAGAGGTTCCATCGCTAGAATAAACAGCATGGGCGAAAGAGGGTCGCCCTGTCGTAGGCCTCGTGCATGGTATAAGTGTTCACCCGAGACTTCGTTTAAGAGAACCTTGGAGGACGAGGTTCCCAGGAGATTGGAGATCCAATTACGCCATTTTGGCCCAAAACAATTATAACCCCTAAAGGCACTGAAGAGAAATCTTATCTTACTATAAAGTTATCCCCTACTAACTCCTTAAGTTTAACATGCAAAGATGCCACATCATCATCCACTAACAATCATCACATTTAAACATCATGCAAACATGCTATATCTTTATAGTTTTTATAATTTAAGAGATTTTCAAATACAAACATGTTAAATTATCATCCAACATAATTCACATAATGTTTCAATGTATATCTTTATTATGTTTTATGATATACTATATACTTATATAGTTCATCCTCACTTAGTTAGTGCTTAAATGATTAATCTATGGTCCAAATTATCTTTTTAATTTTTCCTCTAATTAAGTCATATCACATCAATTTTTTTTAACCTTTAGATGATTAATCTACGGTCCAAACTATCTCCCTACTTTTCTTCTTCCATAAAGTCATACAACCTTACTTTTTACGTTTGAGTCACCATTCTACATACTATTTAAATTTAACTGATCATAAACCACATTAATTTACTTAATCTGATGTTATCTACCTATCATACACGCTATTTTTTTTATTGTTATCATACTAAATTCCCGCAGCAATGCGCGGGGTTTCACCTAGTTATATATAGTTCTCTCACGCATTAGCTAGTCCCTTCGTCAAAAAACTTAACCTAGTTATGGGACGATCCAACATTTTGTTGACGCGAAAAACACATAAAATTTCATTGTTAACACATTTCCATCCTGGTATTTCTTTCATGAAGTAATTGTGCTTAGTAGTATATTTTTACTGGCTCACAAAATTATTGTACGTAGTAGTTATATTAGAAAAGGAAGCATGTCTATGTATTATTGAGACCATACACTACGCCAGATCCATCCATCTGTGACACCCTACTTGTGACGGACTAAAATGTCTCGTCACGGATGATATCATCTCTGACGGGTTAAAATAAATCCCGTTGTAGATGAGGCTCAATAAAATGACCCGTCACAGATAAGAACTCATCTGTGACAGATCTATACAATAACCCGTCACATAATGTCTCTGACGAACCCACATATAGGCCCGTCACAGATGACCTCTTACCTGTGACGGGTGTTGAGTTTGCCCACGTCAGAGGTGAAATAGCTCACCTCAAACGTGTTCAATTCTTATAGCCGTCACAGGTGACATAAAAAAAACCACCACCCCACCCAGCCCCTTCTCCTCCCATCCACCCCACCCGGCCCCTTCTCTTCTCTCTTCCTCTAACTCCCGCTCCCATCCTCCACTCACTTCTCTCTTACTCCGCCAGCCCGCCCCTCCCCTAGACCGTCGGCCGCCGCGGCCTCCTTCCTACGACCGCCGGCCACCAGATCCGGCCTCGTGGCAGTCTCCTTCACTCACCCCGAGCGCCGACGGAGGGGCGGACGGCCTCCATCACCTGCTCCATCGTCGGTGGCGTTGGCAGCCGGCTTGCGTGGGCGGAGGTGTCAACGGCAGCCGACCCACGGCTGGTGGATACCGCTGCCGTCGTCAGGCCTCGGCCACCTTCCCTCCCGCCGTCGGCCACCCCCGCTTCACCGCGCCTCCCCTCCCGCCCCTGCCGGATGCGGGAGATCTCCGGCGGATCTTCTTCGTCCTTGAGCTCCGGTGGCCGCTTCTTCGTCCCTGAGGATCGGTGGTGGTCGCCGGTGGTCGCCTCGAGGTGGTGGGCACTAGACCCGGTCTCCAGGTGGTTGGGGACCACCGGATCTGGAACCCCCGGGCTCCGACCGCTGCCTCCTTCACCCTTCTTGACGCCAGATCCGCCGCCTCCATCCACATGCGCTCAAGTCATCGCCGTCGTTTCTTCGTCTCCTTTGCGCCCAAGTCGTCGCCGCCTGCATCCACATGCGTTGACTTGCCTCCAGCTGCACACAATGAGCTCAGATCCAGTGCCAACAAGTCCTCTTTCACCCATGTATTTTGTCTTGTGCTGTTCATGGTGTTCCAATTGTTGCTACTGTGATTGATGATTCTGATTCCTATGGTGATTGAGATTCTTGTAATTTTGTTTTGTGATTTGGACAACTACGATGGAGCAAAGAATAATTGTGACGATTCTTTTGATTTGTGAATGCCAAATGCAATCGGTCGAAATGAATGTGATGGTAACCTAAGAGGACGGTGTTTCTCTTTTTTCCCCTTCTTTTTCACACCAATGACGGTCCCAATTAGTTGGGGGCCAGTCAGAGGTGACTCTCACCTGTGACGGGTTTTAGTTGGGGGCCGTTTAAGGTGACTCTTACTTCTGACGGGTCTACACCCGTCACAGGTGACTCAAAGTCATCAGTGACCACTAATCTCTGACCGGGGGCTGAACCCGTGAAAGTTGAGGATTTAAGCCCGTCAGTGGTGTCCTGATCGAGTGTAGTGATATAACGCGATCATGACTCATGTCTCTAGTTTAAAAAGAAAAAAAGACGTGACCCACGACCACAAGGTTCATTAAGAGGCTTCAAATTAAAAATGAGATTGGGGGAGAGATGAATTCCGCAATATTTTCTTTTTGTACTAGATGAAACTCAAATGGAAGATGAACTGGCTGCTAGCTAGTCAACCTGCAGCCTGCTGCCAGTCTCTTATCTTGATACTCTCTCTCTCTCTCCTAAAATGTAAAGCATTTTTAACTATAAATTTAGATAACTGTTTGTCTAAATTCATAGCTAAAAATTGCTATATTTCGAGACAGAGGAAGTATATGATTGTGCTTGTATACTGTAACGAACTGTTCTTCTCTTGCTATTGATGAACCGTGTCAGGTTGCCAGGCAAAAGCTTCGCAAGCAATGAATATGTTTGGCTGTCAAACGCTCAGTCTGCAGATAGAAAACTATTCCATCGCGCGCTCATAGCAAAGGTACAACGAACTCCTATATATATACTGTACTTCGTTGCATGAGTACCATTTATCAATAAATTCTTGCGCTTGGCAGTATCTATAAATTAAGAATTTGTATTATATTCTTCTCCATTTTCATATGTATATAATGTCCCGTTCATGCGATATTAGCCATATCGTCTTTCGATTACTCATTTTTGTTTGTTTTTAATTATGTATGACGACAATGGTGCTGCTGATCTACCTACATCACAGAGTGCATCTATTAAGGTACAATTTCATGCATCATAGTACTGCATGCATATAGCTACTTTCTCCATGGCGAAATAACGTCATTTTAAAATATATGTAGCCAATATAAATTTACTAGCTGACTATAGCTAGCTGCTGTATTGAAGTGTACTTTCACAGTTTCTTATTGCAGCTGTAACTTGTTTTACAGACAATCGTCTGCGTGCCATTTATCATGCATGGTGTCCTTGAGCTCGGGACCACTGATCCGGTAAGTTATACTCCCTCCGTCCAAAAAAAGACAAACCCTGGTTTCCGTGTCTAATGTTTGACCGTCCGTCTTATTTAAAAAAATTATGAAAAAAATTAAAAAGACAAGTCGCGTATAAAATATTAATCATGTTTTATCATCTAACAACAATGAAAATACGAATTATAAAAAAATTTCATATAAGACGGACCGTTAAAGTTAGACACGGAAACCCATAGTTTGTCTTTTTTTGGGACGGAGCGAGTAATTGCTCTGCCTAAACATACAAGACCTAAAAATGGAGCATGCATTGATGCATGTGCAGCATGATCGGCTGCTGATGAACGGCATGTACAGCACGCATGCATTCTCCTTGCTATATTCTCTCACAGTAACTCGATCGTGCTCCCCTGCCTGGCCGTCCGGCCTTGATCAAATTTTCGACGGGATCTTGTTTCGAAATATTCGAATTAACAAACAATATTAGCAAATGAAGTGGCATACTGCTCTTGAATTTGCATAGGTTTCGGAGGACCCGGCTCTCGTCGACCGTATCACGGCGTCGTTATGGGATACGCCGCCCCGCGCGGCGTTCTCGTCGGAGGCGGGAGTCGCCGACATCGTCGTCTTCGAAGACCTCGACCATGGCAACACCGCCGTCGAAGCGACGACGACGATGGTCCCGGGGGAGCCGGAGCCTCACGCTGTAGCCGGCGGCGAGGTCGCCGAGTGCGAGTCCAACGCCCACAACGACCTCGAGCAGATCACCATGGACGACATCGGCGAGCTCTACAGCCTCTGCGAGGAGCTGGACGTCCTCGACGACGACAGTAGCAGCTGGGTTGCGGATCCCTGGTCGTCTTTTCAGCTAGTCCCGACGGCGGAAGCTACTGACGTCGACGATGCCGTCGTCGCCGCTCTAGGCGCCATTGATGGATCTTGCAGGCCGTCGCCGTCGAGTTTTGTGGCGTGGAAGAGGACGCCGGACTCGGACGAGGTGCAGGCCGTGCCGCTCATCAGCGGAGAGCCGCCACAGAAGTTGCTGAAGAAAGCTGTCGCCGGCGCCGGTGCCTGGATGAACAATGCTGACGGCAGCGCGGCGACGATGACGACTGATCAAGGAAGCAGCATCAAGAACCATGTCATGTCAGAGAGAAGGCGCCGGGAGAAGCTCAAAGAGATGTTCTTGATTCTTAAATCAGTCGTCCCATCCATTCACAAGGTACTCCATCCGTATTTTAATGTATGACGATGTTGACTTTTTAACAAACGTTTGATTTTTCGTCTTATAAAAAAATTTATAATCAAATGTTCTTTAAGAATGACATAAGTATTTTTGTATTTGCATAAAAAATTTGAATAAGACGAATGATCAAACGTTGGTTAAAAAGTCAACGGCGTCATACATTAAAATACGGAGGGAGTAATTACTTGCAATTTTTTACAACCAAATTCACAAGGTAGTATATATACTGTTCACAAGACGATCTGAATTCATGAGATGTCTCTTGCTGCAGGTGGACAAAGCATCAATTCTAGCAGAAACGATAGCATACCTCAAAGAGCTGGAGAAAAGGGTGGAAGAGCTGGAATCCAGCAGCCAACCATCGCCGCGTCCAATGGAAACAACAAGAAGAAGATGCTGCAAGAGCACCGGCAAGAAGGTTTCTGCAGGAGCCAGAGCCAAGAGAAAGGCGCCGGCGCCGGAGGACACCGACGGGGAGCGGCGCCATTGTGTGAGCAACGTGAACGTCACCATCATGGACAACAAGGAGCTTCTCCTCGAGCTGCAATGCCAGTGGAAGGAATTGCTGATGACGAGAGTGTTCGACGCGATCAAGGGAGTCTCCCTGGATGTCCTCTCGGTGCAGGCATCAACATCGGATGGTCTCCTTGGACTGAAGATACAAGCTAAGGTCGTCGTCTCAGCGGCTAAGAGCTCGCAGCAGATATGCAGCATCGTCTATCTATCTATCTATCAATCACTCTATCTACGTCTATTTGGAGTTCTGATATTGGCCATATTATTGTTGCATGCATGCAGTTTGCCTCACCTGCTGCCGTCGAACCTGGGATGATTACAGAAGCTCTCCGGAAAGCTATAGCAAGCTAGCTAGCTACTCCCTCCGTCCTAAAATATAAACACTTTTAGACTTCAATACAGTCTTCGAGATGCTACTTTGATCAACAATATCTATCAAAATAAGATGTTTTAAATAAAAAAGTTACATATTATGATAGTTTGATTAATAATAAATACAGTAACATCAATTTTACATGATTGTTCTCTTTTATTTATTTTGCTATTAATAGTCAAAGTTAAAAATAGTTGACTTGGCACTATGCTAAAAATGATTATATTTTGAAATGGATGGAGTAGAAGATTGAGATCAGTATCGTCTTGGTCATTTGCTCATCTTGTTTAGGAGGTACCGGGAAATAAATCTTGTTGCTCTGAGTGCCTCCTTGCTAGTAATACCTCTGTTTCAGGTTATAAAACGTTTTGACTTTAATTATAGTCAAACTACTTCAAGTTTGACTAAGTTTATAGACAAATATAGTAATATTTATAATCCAAATTAGTTTCATTAAATCAATAATTGAATATATTTTATAATAAAATTTGTCTTGGGTTAAAAACGTTATTATTTTTTTCTACAACCTTAGTCAAACTTGAAGTAGTTTTACTTTGACTAAAGTCAAAACGTCTTGTAACCTGAAACGGAGGTAAAAAAACAAAATTCCTTCTGAATCTTTGCACATTTTTTTAGAACGAAACAAAAACAAAAATGCTGACGACCGACCATACCTTCTCTTAAAACTTCATGCAAACTCCAACTACTCCCTAACTAAACCAGACACACTGAACCACTTGACATCAGAAAAGGAGAGAATAGATGAAAAGGAGAGAAATTTCAGAGGGCTCAAAGAGTTTTCCATTTGGCTTGTCCTACAGTCAAGGTTAGTTCTGATACCAACTTGTCACGCCCAGAAATTCGCTAACCCGAATCTCAAGTAGAATGTGTATTAAATCTCTGTTCAGGACCAGCCAGAGTACACAAACGACAATTTGATACATTTCCATGACTTAAAAAAAACAAAATAAAGCTAATACGCAGCGGAAAAGCAAAAGAACTAGACTTAATCGTCACCACCAAAGCGAAGCTTCCTCCATAGACCACACAGGCAATCCTCGATGTCCGGAACAATCTCAATCCTCAAAGAACTTATCATCTGAACCAACCTCTGCTTCTGGGGTGGGGAAAAATAAAGCAAGACTGAGTACCAACCACAGTACTCAACAAGTCATACCAACGGGAAGGTATGATGCAAGGATATTCAAAGTAATGGCTCATAGGATAGTTTGCAGTAAAAGCAGCATTTATAAATCATAATTTGAAGAAGTAAAAAAAGAGTATATAATTAAGCAGTATTAAATCATCACTGTCGGACGCTAAATCCACGTCGCAACAGACCCAACCAAAACCACCTGAGCTACACCAGTTACACCAGTTCTAGGAGTTAAATTATTATAGTGGGACTAATCATAGTGAGCTGGTTGATCGCCCAATAGCCGTGGGCACGGCTATTCGAATAGTTTTAACTCTGATCAGAGGTGTACATTGTTACCCACAAAACACGATTTCACATATATTGCCATGCCCCGAAGTACTGCCACGATACTGCAAAGGGGGAAATCATGAAAAAACCCATCATATAACTCTCCTTAACTGAACATGCCCACCTCAGGTTTCACCCCCTCCCTGTGCCAAGTCGGGCAGTCCCCTCTCGTGCCTAGGTAAATTCAGCTTCAGCAAAGACCAAAATTAAAGTCCGAATTGTACCATCTCCTCTATTGCCATGGTATGTCAGCTAGGTTAAGTTATACTCTAGATTCAGCCTGGAGCCCATCTGGCATGTGGTGAGTACGAATATATCTTCCAGGGATTCCCGAGAACCGGTCCTTAATTGTCATGGGCACGACTTCCAGAAATCATTCATGTACCCACAACCCACCATTAAAGCATATTTTAGTTTGATTAAACCATAACCATGGTGGTACATCATAAAATAATTAAGGGCTAAATTATAATGAATCACATCATGAACTAGTTGGTCTAAGCATGGCTAAGCATTCCTAAACCAATCATCTAGTCAAGTATAACCCAAGTTATCAATGGCGTAAGATAATCAACAGGCTGAGAATAATAGGCATCCATCCCACGTAACATTCTAAAACAATGCAATTTGATAGAAAACAGGGGATTTTATAAAATAGGCTCAATATGATCAATGATGTATGTATGACTTGCCTTGCTCTTGAGCTGAACCTCGGCAACGACTTCGAAATAAACTGGATCACCGGAACCGACGGAATCTAAACGCAAACAAAGCACACAAGAATTACAAGCAATAAGGCTACTGAAATAGCAAAAGAAACCAATTTTATGGATTCTATACATTTAACGGATTCACTGCAATTTGAATGGGTTAAAATGGAGCTTGGATTATTTAGTTATGAATTTTACAAGATGAGCTGTGTTATTACTAATAACGAAAAACCTTGGTCATTTATTACATATTATTGCCCAAAGATAAATAGATCAACAGAAATAAACCTCCAGTAAGCAAGCCTCACGAATTGGCGACTCAACGAGTTAACTCATCGTGTCATGGGGCCATCCCAACGGTCAACCGAACCAGCGGACGGAACCGGCGGCTCAGAACGACAACAAAAAGCTAGACACGGTTTACGGCAGAGACTCGGTACGGCAAACGATAGGCCGGTAGGAATTTAGGGCTGCACCTATGGCTTTGCAACTTGGCTACCGACATACGACACGGCGTCAAACCACGGTGATGACACGGGGAAGCGGCGGTGGCGACGGCTAAAGCGGCGTGGCGGCGGCGGCTCGGCTCAGCTCGGCTTGGGCTCGGCCGGCGGTAGGGGCACACGGCAGTGGCGCTAGGCATACGGCAACAGTTGCTAGGGCACACGGCCGGTGGCGGCAAGGCGGCGGCAGCGGGGCTAGTAGGGTTACACCGACGACACTAAAAACAAAAACACCTAAAACAGGGAGTTGCGGATAGAGTCCTCACCAAACTAGAATGATCGGCGAGGAGGAAACAGCAACGATGGTTCGGCGGCAACATGCGGTGGTGACGGCGACGTTAGCTCAAAACCTAGGATGGAGACACATTACAAATAGATAGGTAATGGCGAAAGCCATAAGACGGAGAGGGGAAACGGATTACCGGTGACGCAGGGGTGACGACGGCGACAACGGGGAGGCGGTGCACCGATGGGCGGCGGCGGCAACAGGGGCATCGGCCGGTTGCGCTAGGGCGGCGGCTCGGCTAGGGCTAGGGCGGCTCCAACAAAAATAGGAAAATAGAAAAAACAGGGGTATGGTGGCTTATATAGGGGTGAAGGTAAAAGAGGTGGGGCCAGAGGGGAGAGAGTCGGCAGGGGAGGGAGGGGAGGCGCGTGTGTGGGGGAGAGGGGGAGGAAAAATAGGAATAGGAGGTTAGGATAAGACTTTCCTAAAAAGGAAAACAAAACAAAACCGGACTGAGAGGGAAAGAATGGAAGCGGTCCCGCGAACGAAAACGGACACGGTTCGCCATGCAAAACGAAACTGTCGACTAAGAGGGGAGTGAATCGGGCACGATTCACGACTAAAGGCGGGAGAGAAAAGAATTATTTACTTCAAATCTTGACAAATTAAATTAACAACATTAACTCCAATGCTCTGAATATTCCACTTTAAGTCCTATTAATGGTTTTAGAGCAAAGAGAATTCCAAAAAAATTATCCCTGACAATTCCAATTATTAAATACATTGTTAATTAAAGTTTTCTCCTGGTTAACCAAAATAATTTCTTTAGACGATTTATTAATGAATTAGAACTACGGGAAAGGGGAAAACTCCGGGTGTGACATTTCGCATGGGTGACAGGCCGTGTCGTGTAATTCTTTTTTCCCATTATCCGCGTTGGTGACCGGTCAGCACAATTATAATACTTCGGAGATAAAGGTCATTGGTGAAAGAAGAGGACCCAACACAAATGAGATATTCACATCAATGACCACTTGTTTGTGACCAGGCATCTAGTTGTCATTGATGAGGTGTACAACCCATTACGGATGGTTGGTTTCGTAGTAGTGTATGCTTAATTGCGAGCTTCTAAATGGTGTACTTTTGCGAAAAATTTCTATATGTGAATATTTTTGGGAACTGTTGTAATCTTATTTTTGAATTGTATAGTATTTAATTTGTTGATTTGTATCCTCAAATAATTAAGTTAAATTATTCAGACGTTTAGTCATCCAACCATTCTGAGGATAGGAACACGAATTGCTACTTTATATCACGAGAATTTCAAATAGATATTCAATCTTCCAAAAGATGAGGAGTGCCCTGCATTTAATAAGTGATCACGTGAGGGATCTATCGACCTTCTCAACATAACCGTTGACTCACTGAGCAATCTACTTTTATACTGGAGCTACCGTACGTATAGTAGTTAACAACACGATTGTTCATTTACTTCTAAGCGCATGATATGTCACGTGATTTTTTAATAGAGATAATTTTTATTCCTTTAGTATCTGTTGTTCCTGATGTATGATATAGCAAAAGCTAGTTTAAATTTGCATCCCTTGTTGACTGAGCAAAATATCTGCACACAGCTAAGGTGACTAGCTAAAGCATCGGTATATATATATATATATATATACAACGTGAACATATGAAACTAATTAAGTCAAGATATGGGTAATGTATATCAATCACTAATGATATATACAATGTTGTTAGCACGATATGCATCACATGATGTGAGATCATATGCACGTGAAACGAGCGTGGCTAATACTCCTAATTAACTTGTTATCATTTCCCATGCATGCATGCTCCTATACTATCATATGTTCGCTGTCAGAATACGTTAGATTGTTACTCCCTCCGTATTATTAAATTAATTTTAATGTATGACGCCGTTGACTTTTCGAATAACGTTTGACCATTCGTCTTATTCAAAATTTTTGTGCAAATACAAAAATATTTATGCCATACTTAAAGAATATTTGATGATAAATCAAGTGATAATAAAATAAATCACTAGAACGGATACCCTCATCTCAATCGGGCGGTAAGCCCCATCTCAATCGGGCATGGCATCCGTCACAGGCTAGAAGTCACTAATGTGAAGAGCTATCTTAATCGGGCAAATGGCCGTCACGGATGATTCTATCTCAATCGGGCCCTAAGTAAAGCCCATCACCGATAGCTTTAACCCAGACGACCAGTCAAACTATAGCCCGTCACAGATGACCTACCTCAATCGGGCCACAACTAGCGCCCGTCACAGATGACCCTTATCTGTGACGGGCATTAACTATAGCCCGTCACAGATGAGTATCTGTGACGGGAATTAACTTAGAGTTAATGCCCATCACAGATGAGTATATTCCAAAAATAAATAAATTTTATTTTTTGGCTAGCCCTCACTCGTGTGCACCCACGTGGGAAGTTCAAACTTCCTGGTCGGTCACCCATTCTGAAATTGCTCCAGACCAAGCACACTTAACGTCAAAGTTCTTTAGAGATTGGCTTCTGGAAAAGTAATTGTAACATGTTGGTATAAGTATTCTATTAATCCTATTATACCCTAGGCCAGGATGTCAAATTGGGGTTATTAAATGATTTCAAATGGAAAAGTCACCAAAACCAAAGTTGTAGAACTCATCGAGGTGCAAAATTTTTATTTTGGTCATTTCTCCATCTGACTCTATTTAAACAATTTGAAATTTGAAATTCAAAGTTTGAAAAGTTCAAATAGAATTTTAGATCAGTGAACGACTTCAACTGAAAAAGTCATCAACAACAAAGTTGTATAACTCATCAAAATCTATAACTTTTATTTTGGTCATTTTTCTATATAACATTTTTTGAACCATTTGAATTTGAATTTGAAAATATGACAACTTCAAACAACATTTTCAAATACTAAATGATATCAACTGAAAAAGTCATCAACAACAAAGTTGAATAACTCATCAAGATCTAAAACTTTTATTTTGGTCATTTCTTCATACGACAAAGTGAAAGTAATATTGTTTACAAAATTGACATATCTCTTATCTGGTTTTATAAACTATAACACATATATGTAAAATTTGTGAATAATATTACTAACATTTCGTCAGATGAAGAAATAACAAAAATAAAAGTTTTAGATCTTGATGAGTTATTCAACTTTGTTGTTGATGACTTTTTCAATTGAAATCATTTAGTATTTGAAAATGTTGTTTGAAGTTGTCATATTTTTAAATTCAAATTCAAACTGTTCAAAAAAAAGTTATATTGAAAAATGACCAAACTAAAAGTTTTAAATATTGATAAGTTATACAACTTTGTTGTTGACATTTTTTCCATTTGAAATCATTTACTACCCGTAAAATTATTTTGCTATAGTCAACTTATAAATATAAACATTTCATATGAAAAATGGAAAAATAGTTATTGGTGACGGGCTTTAGTTAATGCCCGATAGAGATTAAGTATATAGCCCGTCACTGATGAGTCATCTGTGACAGGCCTAGTTGTTATCTCAAACGGGCCTCAAGTTGGTGCACGTCACAGATGATGGTCATTTGTGACGGGCCACAACTTGAGGCCCGTTTGAGATATGGAATGTTATCTCAAACGGGCCTAAAGTTGTGGCTCGTCACTGATGATGGTTATCTGTGACGGGCCACAACTTTAGGCCCGTTTGAGATATGGAATGTTATCTCAATCGGGCCTAAAGTTGTGGCCCGTCACTGATAGGTGTCATTCGTGACGGGCTTAAGTTTTATACCCATCTAACATGTCTGTGCGACCATATCTCAATCGGGCACTTTTCGGCCCGATTGAGATGACTTCCTTGTGACGGCCCGCTATTTCTAAGCATATTAGAGCCCGTCACAGATAGAAGGATCTGTACTAGTGAATGATAATTACATAACTTTTTTGAATAAGACGAATGGTCAAATGTTAATCAAAAAGTCAACGGCGTCATACATTAAAATACGGAGGGAGTATATTCTACGACAGACGACGGAACACTAATGATTTTAGGCAGCGCAAATGATGAAATGAGAACCAGCAACACCGCTAAGTTCCCAGCATGCAGCAATTAAAAGGAACAAGTTCACCGAAGGTCCCTCAATTTAACAGCGAGATTTTTTGAGGTCCCATAAACACAAAACTAGAAATGTACACCCCTAAACTTACTCAAACCGTTCACTCAAGGTCCCTAGGCAGTATATATGGGTGGTTTCGCTGATGTGACATCCTAGTTAGCAAAGAGGGAATACAAAATTATGGGGCCCATATGTCATCCTCATTCCTCCCTCTTCTCTGTATCCTCTCTCTTTAGCAGGGCAGGTGGAGCGGCGTCAGGTGCTCCGATGGTGCACGAAGCAGACAGAGAGGGGTGGCGGCGGTGGGGGTGCAGAGGAGACCCAGGCAGGACGACGAGGATGACGACGACGCGGCGGGCGGAGCTCGCCTACCACCGCTACGCTCCTCCCCCGGCCACCTCCATCGATGCTGCCTCCTCCACCCACCTCCATCTACCGGCTACACTCCTCCTCCGGTGGCCGGCAGAGCGGAGCAGGGGCAGCGGCTAGCGAAGGGTAAGGAGCCGCGGGTTGAGGCGAGGTGGGAGGCCGCCACGTCAGCTCCAGCAACGGCGACGGCATCGGCATCGTGGTGAGGGGTAGGCGGCTTGGGGTCAAGGGCCTCGACGACGGGCGGCTCGGGATTGGGATCGGCAGAGAGGGATGGCGTGAAGAGGACCCTCGAAGAGTGAGTCTGCATCGCTGCCGACCCATTTGTCGCCATCTGCTCTGCCCCTCTCTCGGACCTCCTCTCCCCTCGCCGGCCAATGGCGCGTGTGGCGCATGGGCATCGGTGAGCCGGCGGCAAAGCTCGGCCGGGATCGCTCACCGACCGCCTTGCCCCCATCTGCCGCTCTCCGCTGCCCGCTCCGCACTGCCGCTGCCGGCGCCGCTCCGCGCAGCAGCGCTTGCTCGCCACGCGCTCACTCGCTACCGCCGCTTCGCTCTGCCAGCCGCGCGCTCGCAGCCGCCCTAGTCCGGACGCGCGTTCGCCCACCACCGCCGCCACCCAACTCTACTCCACCAGTCGCCGCCCGCTCGCCCGCCTAGTCCGGCCGCTCGTCGCTGCCAGCTGCCGCTCCCCTCTGTGGCAACGAGAAGAATGAAAAGAGGAGAGAGGAAAGAAAAACGAAGAGAGGAGAAGAAAGAGTAAAAGAAGATATGTGGGTCCCACATTTTTTCCCTTCTTACTTATATGTGGGCCCCATAACTTTTTTTATTTTTTATTTTGCTGACTAGGATGCCATGTCAGCGAAACCACCCATATATACTGCCTAGGGACCTTGAGTGAATGGTTTAAGTAAGTTTAGGGGTGTACATTCTAGTTTTGTGGTTTAAGGGATTAAATTGAGGGACCTCCGGTGAACTTATTCCCAATTAAAAAGGTAGTCACCCGATGAATTGGGCTCGTCGAGTCAATCCCTTCGAGAGCGCACCCTTAATATGCCCCCTTCCTAGACAGTGGGCCCAAGCTGCTCACATATGTCACAGAATCAATATCCACGTATCAAGAAATCCATAGAATCATAAAGGTCACGGAATCAGAATCACTTCAATTTTTGAGCAAATCACAATGTATACCACAGCTGGAACATATCACAGAACTCTATAGAACAAGAAACATAATAAAAAAGGAAGGCCCCGGCGCCACAGTCACTGCACCACCTAGCCACCATTGACAAATCGGTAGAGGAAGGCTGATGTCCCGTTCTTTTCTTCAACAAGAGTTAGATGAAGATTAAGATTTTCGTGACACGTTTTTCAAACTGCTAAATGGTGCGTTTTGTACGAAAACTTTCTATATGAAAGTTGCACTAAAATATCATATTAATCTATTTTCCAAGTATGTAATAATTAAAACTCAATCAATCATACGTTAATACCATCTCATTTTGCGTAAAAAACTTAATATTCATATTTATCTTTATATTTATCTTCATATTCAGGAGAAAAGAACACCACCTCAGATCTCATCCTCATGAGGCGTTCCCGCCACCTCCCACTCGCTTTTCCCTCCAACCATCAGGGACGAGGAGGGAACCGCCACAGTTGCTTGGTCCGCATCAACTAGATCTAGCCGCCACCAAGCTCGTGGTAGCCAAATCCGGTGGCCCCAAAGATCAAGGCAAAGATGAGGTCCAATGGTGGCAGGGGTGGGCGTGACGAAGAAGGCAGCGGGGTTACCCCCGCTCGTGAAAAGGAGCGGCATCCGTTCCCGTGGGCAAGGAAGTGCGCGGATTTTGATTCCTGTCAGATATATGCAAAGCATCTATTCATAGATGTTTAGTCGAGCAGATTTTGTTTTACCTAAAGTTTTGACCATTTCACCGCAGTTTATCTCTTAACTCTCATGTAACTTTTGAACTATGCAAACTGCCCCATTGTTTAGCATATTGGAGGAAAAAATGAAACGGTATATTCGCAAATGAAACAATAATTTGTAAATTAAATATATATATATATATATATATATGTTGTTAACGATCTAAAAGCAAGGCTGAAAAAATAAACTACGATGAAAAAAACTCCAAAATCAACTTCAAATTTAAGGTCGAAAATTCATATTTTGGTTGATAAGCGAAATGACGAGGCTTTGTCTCTGCCTCGGAAGTAAAAAGGGTACCATAAAAATTCCATACATTTCAATTCTGCCTGCAATCTTTATAGCTCAATTAAATTGGTAGATAAAGGAGTTCTCAACCATCGTCCTTGAATTGTCTTCATGTCAACCATTCAAATTGGTCTAACTGTTATAGTCGGAAGGCCTCAATATACGGACAAGTAATTTCCAGTAGTTCAAAATTCATCATGTCACATGCTCAGTATAACGAGGATCTACTTTTACACTATGCAAGAATGTGTGCTACAAATTAAATCATCCTTGTATGTGTAAGATCAAGTTTATTGATAATAAACTTAGTATTGTGTGGATAAATCTACTTCTACTACACAAAATAAATTATAGTTTTTTATCCTAAGACATGTTTCTTATTTTGACAGGTATGTTACAGGGTAAACCACATATGAAAAAATGTGATACCCTGTTCTCAGTTAAAACGACAGACTTTGGGAGAATATCAAAAGCAGGTGAACGAACATCCTGAACATCCTGAATCTATATATGAAGGTTGTTTGATCAGAACAAGACTGACCAGGCAAAATTTATACAAGAACCACCTTTGTTATGCAAACAGATGCTCCTATATCTTTGATCCTTGAATTGTCTTTTGATGCTACGATTCAGAAGTATGAGAAGCATATGTGAATCATTTGAAAAAAGTCACAAATAAACAATAGAAGGCAAGAGGAAATATGCATAGTACAATACCAGGTTACTTCTTGGAAACTCTCAAATATGAGTTGGTGGGACTATGCCATCGTCTGCTTAATGTTTAAGAATAAGTTATCAAGATGCATGCTGATTTGTCTTGAGAAAAGTATGCAAGTTCATGGCGTATATGAAGATTACGATTATATTACAAAGTACACACTATTCTAATCAGAACTGGATGTAGTCATTGTCATCGAGTGGACATTGATGACTAGATTGTATATAAGAAAAATGGGATGAAGACTGATTACTGACCAACCTTCTTCAGTCCTGCAGTTGCATAGATGCTTCCTGTGATACCTGAAATCTGAGCCCTCTCAACAGATACTGATTGCACTCTTGTACTACCAATAATATTTTTGACAGAATACTACCAATAATATTGGATTCAGATTAGCAGAATTAGATGAAAACTGTATAGCAGAATGTACATGCATGCAACACTGAAAACATATTAAGGGCTGCATAAATTTGAGTCAAACATAATTTTTAAACATACCTCCTTTGGAAACTTGTATTCAAGTTTGAAGCAAGATATCCATGGTGCAAAATTACTAACTAGTATAGGTGTCAAAACCTGAGTTATGTTATTGAAATGGGTTTATTAACATCAGTGGCAACAAACAAGTGCAGCAAGGTAATGCCATCGCTGAAGAATTAATGCAAACTGTTCACTTACATATTGAATACATCTGAGTTCTGAGATAATATCCAAAAGAAAAAAGAAATCGAGTTTAGAGTTTCGATACCTGCTTACCATGTTAAAAAATAAAAAAGAAACACAAGGCTTTATTTGGACTAAAATGAAGATCTACCAACCATTTAGAAAGCCTTATAGTTTAGATTTTTAATTATTGTAAATGCCTAATTGACTGACCACCAGAAGCAAAGAGCCAAAGATTGACATGGCAGATTAAAAAATCACTACACCTAACTTGCATTAGGAAATGGCTGAAGCTTTCCAACATTTTTCCACTATATATTGATAACCTAAGCAAATCCCCATCTTATAACTTTGTCTTATTGCCGAAGAGTGTTGTTCTTCCCATGCGACTGTCTTCTTTCATAATCTTTTTTTTATTTTGCTAACATCACAACCACACTTATGATTGAATTTGAAATTCTGAGAACCATGATATTGGTTGTCACCAATCTCCACTAGTTTAGTAACACCAACAGCTTCCTACCACTTCACCTTTTATCATAATGAAGCTCTTCCTCCTCCTTGAGCCCGGCATCTGTGAAGCAAGCTAGATTTAGAGTTGCCACCAAACATACACCTCAAATCACAAATGGAGCACACCATGGTGAGTGTTGCTACTGGGGTACTCAGCTCGGTTCTCGGAAAGCTCCCTGCCCTGGTAGAGAGGCAGTGCAACAACAGCTTCAAGGGTGTGAATGAGGAGATCCTCACCATGAAGCTCGAGCTGCAAAGCATGAATGCTTTTCTCCTCAAGCTGGCTGACATGGATGATCTAGATATCCAGGTCAAGGAATGGAGGAACCAAATCAGAGAGCTGTCCTACGATATCGAGGACTGCATCGACGACTTTATTCATCAGATGGATGGTGGCTCAAGCAGAGTTCACAAGGGTTTCTTCCAGAAGAGCATTCACAAGCTGAGGACACTTGGAGCTCGTAATGAGATTGCTGATCAAATCCTAAAGTTGAAGGCGCGTGTTGACGATGCAAGTGAGCGGCAAAAGAGGTATAACTTCAATGGTACCATCTCAAGTTCTATTGATGTGGTACCCCTTGACCCTCGGTTGCCAGCACTTTTTGCAGAGGCAGATGCCCTAGTAGGTATTGATGAACCAGCAGAAGAGCTCATCAACTGGCTAACTAAAGGAGGGGAAAAGTTGGAGTCAAGATTAAGTGTGGTGTCTGTTGTGGGTCTTGGAGGGTTGGGCAAGACTACTCTTGCTCGTCAAGTATATAACAAAATTGGAGGGCAGTTTGATTGCCAAGCATTTGTGTCCATCTCCCAAAAACCTGACATGAGGAAAATATTTCAGAAAATGCTGAATGATATCACAAGGATTGAACATGCTAGTCTAGCATGGGATGAAGAGCAACTCATGGGCAGATTGAGAGCTTTGGATGAGGAGCAACTCATCAACAAATTGAGAGAAACCCTCACGGGTAGAAGGTAATCAGACACTACTAATCCATGTCCATATTGTTCAAAATGAATTTTGCTCTGCTACCTTTACTCCAATCAACATATTGTGTGGTACATGTCAACCATGTCATGAGTTTTGTGGGCTTGTGGCATTATATGCAAACTAGCAATGCAGCACTGTACATTACATTCAATTCATCCTAAATTATCTAGCTTAACATTTTAATCTGTTCCATGCTTCTTCAGTCCTATTTTATTCAATGCAATCTAGAGTTGTAGACAATGGACATCCCTTGCATAAGAATATTGCAAGACAATGATGTAAAACACTGTTACAGATTAATTAGGAATGGTAAAGATGAGAATCCCTGAAGAAAGATAGAAACGTTGCAAGCCAGACTGGATGATTGGGGAAGGATAAACAATCGGGTCAATTTTAGTCAAGGCGAACAAATTTGGTCCAATATTTAATTTTTATAATTATTTATTAGTTAGTTCCCCTGAGCTTAGATCGAATTTTACTATGATAAATCAACTCTGGCCCGAAATAGGCTTACATGTGGATGTGGTAACTTTCATCTGGGCCTCTGGAACCAAGTATAACATATACATATTTTTTCTTATAGTAATAAATTTTAATAAGAGTTCTCTACTGTTTCCAGAAAAAGACACCAGTTGGACCTATTAGGAAATGGACATAGATGTGGGGAGAATCAAACATTTTGAAAAATAACCAGCTGTTAATTCAAAGCATTACGCAAAATAACTGTCAGTAATACCAGTATTCATACATAACCCTTAACTATGTACACCGTATCATTCTAGAGGAATTAATCAATACTTTTTTCCTTGAAATGATCATGTCATAGGTACTTTATTGTAATTGATGATCTATGGAGTACATTAGCATGGAGAACAATCAGATGTGCATTTCCAGAAAGTAACTGTTGTAGTAGAATATTGATAACGACACGTATCATTTCAGTTGCCAAGTCATGTTGCTATCCAGACCTCAACAATGTGTATGAACTGAAACCTCTTAGCAACAGTGATGCTAATAAATTGTTTATGAAAAGGATATTTGGTTCTGAAGATCAATGTCCATCTCAATTGAAACTAGTATCCAATGGCATCTTGAGAAAATGTGGCGGTTTACCATTGGCAATCATTAGTATAGCTAGTTTATTGGCTAATAATCCATGCACAAAAGAATTATGGGAGAGGTACCGAAATTCCATTGGCTCTCAATTTGAAAAGGATCCCAGTGTAAATGACATGCAGAGGATTCTATCTCTCAGTTATAATGACCTTCCGCACTATTTGAAGACATGCTTATTATACCTCAGTATATATCCGGAGGATTTCGTAATAAGGAGGACTCAATTGATACTGAGATGGATAGCAGAAGGATTCATAACAGCAAATGGCAGACAAAATTTAGAGGAAATAGCTGAGTACTATTTTAATGAACTAATCAATAGGAGCATGATCATACCAGTGAGCATCCAATATGATGGCAGAGTTGATGCTTGTCGAGTACATGATGTGATTTTTGATCTTATTATTTCCAAGTCAGCTGAAGAAAATTTCATCACAGTATTTGGTTACCAGAATCATGCCTTTGGACCACAAGACAAGATTCGTCGACTGGTTCATTACCATGGTCAAGAAGAAATTATGGTGATGTCAGATATGAATGTTTTGAATGTTCGATCACTCACTACTTATGGATCCACTGAAAATGTGCTGCCTATTTCAGACTTTCAAGCTCTTCGTACAATTAGCATTGAATGCAATGATCAATTAGAAAACCATCACCTAAATGGCATACAGAAATTGTTTTGTCTTAAATACCTAAGGTTGAACAGAGTAAGCATCAGCAAACTCCCAGAGCAAATAGGGGAACTACAGCAACTTGAGACAATAGATCTGACACAGACAATGATAAAGGAATTACCCAAGAGTATTGTGAAGTTGAAAAGGTTGCTGTTTTTACTTGCCGATGAAGTAAGTCTGCCAGCAGGAGTAGGGAACATGAAGGCTTTACAGAAACTTTATCATATGAAAGTTGACAACAGCATCTCATCAAATACCTTGCATGAACTACAAAGATTGACTGAACTAAGGTATCTTGGGATAATTTGGTGCGTTAATGATATGTATGCTGGTGGTAAAACTCACATAGATAACTTTGTTCCATCCATCAGTACACTGTGCAAACTCAAGCTTCAGTACCTGCATGTTCAATGCTGTACTGAAAATGGTTCGTCTCTCGATTTCTTGTTGAATTCTTGGTTCACTGCTCCTAATCCCCTCCGATATTTTGGGATGAGCTCAAACTATTATTTTCCTAGAATTCCAGAGTGGATGGCTATGCTCTCTAGCGTCACCTTCCTGAATATCAATATTAGTCATGTTGGGGAGGAAGCTTTTCAGATCCTTGGCAAATTACCTTCTCTTCTAGCTCTCAGGATATGGACAAAAGGAGTAGCCCCCAATGAAAAGCTCATCATCCGCAACAGAGGGTTTCTCTATCTTAAACAGTTCGTGTTTTACTCCTGCAATATTGAAATGAATCCATTAGTATTTGAGGCTGGGGCAATGCAAAATCTTGAAAGGTTTCGCTTTAACTTAAAAGCACGAGAAACAAGAAATCCATGCAGACAATTTTTTCTCAGCATCCAGCAGATGTCCTCTCTCAAGCATCTCCTTGTGTTGATAGATTGTAGAGATGCAAAGGCTCATGAGGTGGAGGCTAAAGAGGCTGCCATCAGGGAGGCAACCAATCACCTTCGCAGCCATATCAATATTGAAATCAACACAAACTGGACATGGAAGATGGTAAAAGATGATGATGATGTTGGGATCAAATGCAAGGAAGAGGATAGTATGAAGCATCCGCGGGAGTGGGAGAAGGATGTTTAAACCCATTGAAATAGATGAAATGTAGTAGAGCTAAGTAAGTATACATAACTTCTTCTGGAATAGCTACAATTCTCTACACATATAGTGTACTCTAACTTTTTGTTTTATATGATTGGACCTTTATTCTGTCAAGCCATATGAACCTGAGGAAAAAAAATTGGTGGTGGTGGTGGAGGAGGGGGGGAGTAGGGGGTTGTGTTTTTACTGTTCTTGGGAGGTAACGAGATTTCAAAAGGTAGCAACCATTTGGTAGAATACATCTAACAAAAATGTGATACCAAATATATAATTCATTCATTTCTACAGGAATCATATAGACAGAAATCAGTTCATGGATTTGGCTGGCAAGGTGCTGCTGCTGAAAATCACTCTGAAAACATCCAAGAGCTGGCAGGTGCTGCCCCACTTCCTGGGCTCCATGACATCTCTGGTTCGGTCAGAAACAGGAAACAATCTTGTCGCGTCGTTTTTCTTCTCTTTTTTAGATGCTTTTACCCTTTCTTGGGTTGGTGTTGCATATCAATGAAATGTGGCAAAACATCTGCCATTGATTCAAAACCACCATATTCTTCAACAGCATCTATAGATATTATACATTTGAGGTTTGCTTGAACAGCAAACTATATGCCATCACAATCACTAGAACATTTGGCAAAAACAGGTGTTCATAAGGACAAGTATGACGAGGAAAGTAATAAAATTTACAGTCAAGCATACACCGTAATTTCAACAAAAATAAGATACAAATATGCCAAAATAATTAACTATGTAAGAACCGAATATATAATTTGCCTATCTCTCCCCCTTTCTCTCCACAACCAAGATAACCATTTTCCCAGAGAAAGAGAAAAAAGCATGGAGGTCTAGAGCATGTCGTACCAATTTTTTTCCACATACCTGGTCAGTCCATCGAATCCATTGTGGAATTGCGTGGAACAGAAGCTCGTCGCAGTCGGCCCTGCTGCCCCTCGCCGTCGCACATAGCGGCGGTAGCCATCGGCCGACGACGACGCCGGCAGAGGGAACTACCGGGCTTCGCGCCACCCCGGAGGGTATCCTCCGTCCGTCTCCGTTCTCCTGCCGCCACCCGCGGCGCTCCCCGAGCTCCTACCTCACGATCCGCGCGGGTGGATTTGGGGGTTTAGGGTTTGACGAGGAATCTCCGAGCAAAGAATGGGGAAAGGAAGTTCGCAGGAAGTAGCAGAAATCATTTTGCCATTTTATTTCTCGTTTATGTTTGCAAGGACGGATTTGGAATTTTGGATTGGCCTCAAATCATTCGCTTTCCACGTAATTCCGCACCAGTTCTCAACGTGTGTCTGTGTGGTATTTACGATCAATTCATATTTACGATCCACCTATATATCTTATCATCACCAAGGCACCACGTATTTTAATCAAATGATGACTAGCTTTATGCTGTCGTGGAAGGTCGCCTCTACTCGAGGTGGAGGCAGGGCAATTTGTATGGCTTATTCGATTCGTGGTAGTTATGGTTGCTAACTTGAAATGGGATCACGACAAGCTTTTTCGATTGTAGGTGGTGAATCGAAGCATAGATTCTTTTTTTTTTTTTTGTTCTCAAGCATTTGGATAGGCGATTTCTCATGCTAGTTTTGCTCAATGATTTGAGTTAGTTATCTATATTGAAGGATCTTGGGTACTATTTTTTTATGATCTATTGTTTGTTTTCAAAGGGCAATGAGACTATAAAGCAGTGTTTCTGATTATGGGGTATTGTTTTGATTATATTTTTTCTACCATTGAAACTTTTTGTGTTGATTTTTCTCTTGACACACCTCGTAGATATCCTAGTGCAGTATCATCATAGTACTTTAATGTATCACATCAATGATATTATGATACTTACGCATGTTTAGTAAGAGAAGACAAGGGATTGAGAGTTTGAAGGAGGGAGTAGGTGGAGGGATTGAACATGGGACTTTCTTTTTTACTCTCAGTCCTTTGTTTGGTACTCCCTCCGTTCCTTAATACAACGCGTAATTTGTTTGGGCTAAGAGACCAAGAAAACCTATAACTACCCATCGTACCGATTTATTCCAGCGCGTTCCAATGCATGACGCTTCGATCAGTTCATCGCATCTAGTACCAAAGCGGCATGCACCCGTGTCCTGCAGTTTTTGCGCGTGCATGCAAGCTTCTGAGTGGTGGATCCTTTGCCTTTCTTGCATCTGAGTGGTGGATCCTTTGCCTTTAAACTAATTAACCGAATATCGAGAGCTCATGCAACCATGCATTCAATGCTTGTATACACCAAGTACGGAGTTGAGTATTGTGCCTTATATACTGGCACTTGAAGAAAAGACGTTTGCGCCTTATATTAAGGAACGAAGGGAGTAGTAGACATGACAAGCATTAGGAGTATGGATGATAATTGAATTTTAAGTATTGATGTATGGCTCGGATTTATCTTGTCGCACTTAGAAGGGAATTTCTTCTCAATTACTTGCTCCTACCCAGGTATTGAAAAGGTGGGAGTTTGATCTTAATCTCTTCTTCCCCATCCATTCAAAAACCCCACAAACCAAACAATGGACTTAATCGTCCCCGCTCCTCAAACCCTCGTTCCCCTTTACAATTTCCCCCTCTCCCAACCAAATGGGCCGTTAGGTTTTGTAACTACACGTATCGAATCTATAATTATCAGATTTTGTACCTATAGGTAAGGATCAGGTACTAGGGTACCTGATATGATACCTATAGATATCGGATCTTTATGGATTCTGATACATATAGTACCAAACTTGGTACTAGGTACTAGGGTCTGGTGCATCTGATACCTTAGTTTTATGCATGCTGGGTATATACAGTAACCTGTTCCCGCGCGGCACCGCCGCCGCCCGCCACGACCGCCGCCGCCGCGGCCCCGCCGGCCGCCGGGCCGCCGCCGCCGGCCACCGGATCGGATGGGAAGTGAGCAGGGGAGCAGAGGGGAGGAGGAAGGGCAGAAGGGGCGGATGGGAAGTGAGGAGGGGAGGAGGAAGGGGAGAAGGGGGAGGAGGAGTTAGATCTGTGAAGAGGAAGGGGCACGGATCTGTGAAGTGTAGGAGAGGATAAGGGATAGGGATTATATACTACGTATTAAATTTTAGTCTCGGTTGGTAATACCAACCGGGACTAAAGATCAATATAATTTTTAGTTCCGGTTAGTATTATCAACCGGGACTATAAAGATGATCTTTAGTCCCGATTGATGTCACCAACCGGGACTAAAGATCCTCGGCCCCCTGACAGACTACTGACACGGGATGAACCAGGAGTAAAGATGAAGTTTAGCCCCGGTTAGTGTTAACAACCGGGACTAAAGATCATAAACTAGCTGTGGTGTTTTTAACCGGGACTAAAGATCATTTTTAATCCCGGTTTTTATTGCAACCGATACTATTGTGGATTTTGGCCGACCGACCAAAGATGGTTTCTCCACCAGTGGGTGGGGGTTGCAGGATTTAAAAATCTCGACACACACACACCCCAAAGGTTTTAATTAAAAAAAAAAGCACAAAACAAAAACGAAACGACCCATGCTGACTTTCCTGTGGCACACAAGATAGCTCTTGGAGCTAAGACAATAGTGTCCTAGTTAACATCTGTTGGAGCATTGATGCTCCGACTAGAAATCTAAGCACGCCCTCACTAGCCACAGCTCGGATGGCATCCGCCATGCTAGGGGCAACACCATTAAAAACACAATTGTTTCTATTCTTCCAAATCTCCTAAGCGACCAAAATAATCAGCGTGTTGAGCCACTTCTTCTTATTCTTTTGCAAGCCTTTTACTGCCTCCGCCCACCAACTAGAGAATTTGCGTGTGTCATTGTTCGGTAGTGTGGAAGAGAAGCTTAGCCTTTGCAAATTAAGGACCAAACTTGTCGGCTGAAAACACAATTGATCATGAGATGTTTTATAGACTCCTCAACTTGATCATAAAGAGGGAAAACCGCTAGGTGAGACGAGCCACGCTTGGCATATTGTATGTTACAGTGTGCAGCCCAGCCCACCAGCCATGGGCCACCAAAGTCAAATTGGGCCTGCTCCACCATAGGCCCAGCCGAAGCCACAACTTTAGGTCCTGGGCCTACACAACCCAAAAGACTAGTCTGATGGGTGAGGACGGCCCCTACCTTTTAAGTTGTGCTCTTCCATCATCAATTATCGATGTGGGACTAAACCCAAAATTGGAGATAGCCAGTTAGTTAGATCACGAGTTGGCATACTGATATCCCCAATTTACACACATGGAATCAACTAATATTTAAAAGCTTATCTGATTGCCGAGTTGTTATATTAGACTACACGTTACTTCAATTTACTCTAAAAATCCCATGTTTAAACTTTATGGTCTTTAAATGTTGAAACAACTGTAGGGAGAGCAGTTAGGATGACACTAATGTTTTGCCTGCAAGTACAGTGTGATGACTGTGATGGTGCTTTTCTCAACCTCACTCTCAATATAACTAGTAAAATTACGCGCAAAAACTGTGAAGAGCTCATCGAGTATTGAATCCCCAAAATGGCTTGCTATAAGGGACTCTATTGCTGCCCTTAGGGTCGCAGACATGCTCTGTCCAGTGGCCTGAGTGGCAGCAGTGCCCTCTATTGGCTCCAAGTCATCCATGGGGTTTCCATCCATCTCCAAGAGTTGGATGTCACTTATATCAAGTAGGTTGTTCTGCCACACCAACTGCTTTAGCTCATCAACCGAAGGACAATAAATTGGTATGTTGAAGGAGTCTAGCTTCTCCTTCTCAACACGACCCTGTTGTGAAAAATGCAAATAAATTAAAAAGCGATAAGGGTATAGCTTTTCCACGTTTGAGTGACTGTATGTATGTATGAGTTGGATATTATTTCCTTTCTAACTGAAATCAATGTCCAATGAAGTGAGACGTTGTAAAAGAATGGATCAGATTGTTTCTGCTACTATTTCTACTAGTAGAAGAAGAGACTAATATATATAAAAGCAAGAAACAATATAGTCAACTTTATTTTAAAAAAGTATCTCATACTTTTAAACATTTCTTGTTTGTCCACAAGCATATTTTGACATGATTTTTTACATGCTATGGATTTTCATGAAGAATTTGATTAAGTACCAACACACATCTCATACATTTGAAAAAGTATTTAGATTGTTTGGTTTTTACTAATATGGGAGTTGTACACTTGGAGATTTTTTTCTATCAAAGGATAACATTATGGTTTAAATAATAATATGGTGCTCATGTCATGTGAACTATACCTCAGCTACAAGAGTGCGCAATCCTTGTGAAAGCAACTCGAAAATAGTGGTCGTCCTTCCTGCATCGAAGACATCTTTGCTCTTCCTCCCAACAACAGTCAGCACCATCCGGCCTCCGTGCACAATCTCTCTGCATCGCATCCGGAGGAATTGCATGAAGTCCTTCTCAAACTGATTTTGATAGAGCTTTGCCACCATTGGACGTGTAGTTGCCCCAATGTGAACATTCCCTTCATTCATGCTGCCATCGAGATTTTCAGGGACCTATCCAAACAGCCAACAAGCCCCAAAGGTCAGGAATGTTGGGTCCTAAATAAGTTTATGCAATGAGGCATATATCAACAAGCTTCACCTGAGAGAGCCACATGACACTCATGGACGAATGGAAGAAATGGACTGTGTTGCTTGGGAAGAGCCTAGTGTAGAAGGAACCTGCCAGAGCTGCGACATAGTACGGAGGAGGTTGTAACCCTCTGCAGGCGCAATGTTGTTTTGTCAACTACTCAAACTGCTCTAGTGATTGGAAGATTTGGTTGAAGTCGTTGCCAGGTAGGTCATTGAGGAGGAACTGGACCTCCATGGTGCTCTCCTCGAGAGCGCTATTACGGTTTTCACATATTGTGGTGATCACCTTGGAAACAAAGAGGAGTGTATTTCCACCGAAAGAGCAACCTAGATCAACGATGACCATTGATTGAGGATGAAGATCTATGCACATTTCCCTTACGGCTTTCTCGACCATTGGCCTAGTAGCAAGAATAGCTCTTCTCTAGAAAGATATGGAGCAAAAAGTAAAATCAAAATTATGCTCAAACAAATAATACACTTGGACTTTCCAACTCTAATGCAGGTCCATGGTAAGGGGTAGTAACAGATCACAATCTACCGATCCTTTCACAATCCAACTTAGCCGACATATATTCTTAAATAAAAAAAATCTACAAAAATTCAGTCCACCATTTTTTTGCACAACTCAAACTTTGTAGTCTTTAAAAGTTTGACCGATTGCCACCACTATCCAAGGTAATTGAAAGTGAGAAAAAAAGTGTGGTGTTCTTGCCGATTTGGCACATGACTCTAGTTAATTAACTCAATATGTACTACATATGTACAAACAAATGTTTATTAGCAGTTATCCTATATGTTCTCTTTATATATCACTAGTGAGTACAACCTACAGCGTTGGAGATAAATTGCTTAACAATTTTTCACAGAACAACATATATATGTGTAGTTTGTAATGACTAATGAAACAAAAACTAATAAGGACACAAATAGAAGAAAGTTAGGGTTGGTACAAACTTGTATCCTAGAATTCTTGGCATAGCTGAACTTGTCATCCCCTTTCATCATGTGGAAATCGCGATCAATCTTCATGGCTTTTTAAATGCTTGGGTAGAAATTGAATCCTATATATATATATATATATATATATATATATATATATATATATATGTTGTTATCTGCCCAAAGAACATGATAACGTGTTATATGGAGTACAAGAACTCACAGGAGATTTCTTCCTTTTATAGACAGAATGCTTGCCTTTGACGCACTCGGCAAACTTTGCTGTTTGTTCAATCCAAGCCATTCATCACTCAGGGGAGTAGTTTCTTTTCCTAGTTGCTTGCTTCTCGTTCTTCAGTAAACACATATATACGAAGCAAGGGAG